GGTGGCGGTGGTGGTGGTTGTGGTGGCGGGTGGTGGGGTGGGGTGGGTGGCGGTGGCGGTGGTGGTAGTGGTGGCGGTGGTGGTGGTGGTGGTGGTGGGATGGGTAGAGGGCCAGCGGTGTATGACATCATCTTTAGGTAAGAACAGAAGAGATACAGCAAATGACACTAACAGGCCAACAAACAGCAATATTCACAAACTGTTGTTGATGCTAGCAGTTGCTGATGAAGCGAACTCCTGTTGACAGCAATACAGGTCTTGAAGCTTGTGCTGCGCAGGGTTCGGTGGTTGCAGATATGTCGGTTCATCTAGATGGAGAGCCTCACGATGCTGGGAGCTATCTTCTTGAGTCCCTCATCCTCCAACCTGGCAAGGGTTTCGGGCTCTGAGGCATTTGACTGTAGACACTCGGACAGAGCTGCTTCGCGCTTACCAGGAGTTAAGATCTGCAGACTGGAGCTTTTGGGCTGGCTGACGGGATATTGACTTGGCTTCTTTGGTTTCGCGTGTAGCTTGTGACGGTTCAGGGTTCAGCTATGGAGATGGTTGTGAAATCAGCTCGATCCGAAGAGGAGACGGCGGCCTCTTTCACAGCCTGGATCTGCTTGTCCAGACCACTCCGTGCTTGCGGGGCTGGACCCTGCAGCAGCCTTGTTGCATCAGGCTCAGCAAACGTTCTAGTGACTTCATCACCGCCTCGCGGTTCAGGCTCAAGGTCCAGGGCAGAGGTTCAGGACAGCAACACTCTATATCAATCAATCGGCCTCTACACGCAACTTTGTACTGTGAATGCGGAAAAGGCAGAAATAGATGTGCAAAACTATTTTCCTGGCTTGAAGAGCCTGACAGCTGGAAAAGTGGAAAAGACTAAGGCCTCCAAGCTGCATGGGGTAGCCAGGATAGTTGTGCATTGGTGGAAAAACCATCCTGAGCAATGTGCTGACCGTTAACTTTCCTACCAGACCCAGCAAGACTTGTATGATCCGGCAGGTGGTGCTTTCAGGCTGGTTGAAGTTGAAGCCTAGTCGTGGATTGCGCTGCTTGAAACGGAGCCCCCTGCCACTTGCCAGTTTGTTTCGACTTGGCATTCCCTTTCTTGGAGTTTGCCACATTGCATCAAGTGCTGATCCTCTATTGTCTAACCAGTCACTGACCCGTGCCTGTCCCACTCGGCAAAATGAAACTCGCTCAGAGGTGTCCTTAGCAACCTTCAGCCGCATCAGGCCCCCTACCCCCGACCCCTTCCGGTTGATCTCCAAAGTTCACGAGGTGAATCCCAAACCTAGAATGGCTCCTTTCAGGAAGCGGATGAAGCTGAGAAAAGCGCTGAAAGCCTCAAGCCTTTGCAACAAGACGGAGGTAACTCCGAAGGCATCTCAAGTGTGACGCCTTCGTTTAGAGCTGCTTGAGGCAAGAGTCGGCACTGCAAACGATGGCGCCGGCACCGCCACAAACATGGCAGAGGTCGTCATTCCCGGATGCACCTCAAGCCGGTTGCAGCTTTGTTTGGAGCTTTGGCATCGGGTTCGGGTGGAGCTGGCACATATTCGTACACGTTGGCCCGCTCATCGAAACGTTGGAGCCGATGATCGTCTCGCACCTCTCCCCTACAAACCTTGCCTTCCAACCCAACGAGTCCTGCAGTCGTCAAGGTCAAAGGAAGGAGCTCACCACTCAAACCCTCCAATCCTATGAACCCCTGCAGACTGACCACGCCACGGTTAGGAAGCTCAAAGACGACCAGTCCGGATTTTACAGTGTAGAGGTGTTGAGCTTTAGGCTTCACAGTCAGCGGAAAAGGTTTGAAGCATCTTGCTTGAAGCTTAGGGCCTAGGTTTGAGCGGTGCCTGCGCCAGGGCGACGGGGGCAGCTGGTGCCTGCACAGGCCAGTCCAGCTTCTGCCGCAGGCACGGTCTTCTGTTCATGCCGTCGCTCGGCAACCATGTATGGGGCTTGCCTGTAGCTCGCTCCTGGAAACCTTTAGGAAAAGAGGGTTACAAGCAAGTCAGCTCAGGTCAGCTGGCAGCCCTGGGCTCTGTTCACTCTCATTGCACTAAGCCAGCAAACACCTACAGCGGCAAGAAGGGTTCTTCTTGCTGTGGTACTGGAAGTAAGCCTACTTGACCACATCTGAAAACTGCGACAAAAGTTCCTTTGAAGCCAGTTGGCTACTGCTTTAAAGGTTGAACCAAGGCTTAAGCCCGTGAGGGCCGTCGATGGAGTGTGGACTGCTGGAACCTTGCGAAGCCAGCACACAGGAGGCCAATTAGCACTGTTTCTCTTCTATCTGAACTAGTCGGGAACTCTAATTGACGCAACTCGGATGTCCTTAGAATTGCACACTGTTTTACCAGCGGTGCTGTGGCAAGTTCATAAGATCAGTAAGAACAGCACGACAACTCGGCTTATGGCGACTGTCATATGACCACCACGGTCGGCTTGAACGCTCAAATAAAAAGACCTTGGTGAATGTTCTGACAAGATAATGATCACTGTGATTCAGATCCCCCTCTGGTGTGTCAAGTCTTGCTCATACTCGTCTGACGGCTACTGATGCGCCTTTTGCCGAGGCGTTCCCGCTTTCGGCGCCGTGGAGAGAAGAACACGAGGGCTGCACCGAGAGCACGGAAGGTGGAGGCTATGCAGGTCGGGCCATGAGGCTCAGATATAAAACTTTAAATAAACTTCGGCATGACGAAGACATGCTGCGGAAAGCTGCATGTTTCAAGATGAACACACAGTAAATCCTTTCGCCTGTTTAGGCTTGAAAGGCCTGCAGGATTTTGCAGAACTCCGGATCCGGGGCTCGTTTCAGGAAGTGATAAGCTTGATACCCACTGCTCGACACATTTTCTGTGGACAACTACGAACGCCTACTTTACGAGCAGAATGGTCAACTACGCTCCGGCATTGAAGCCACTTGCCATTGACATAGGGTACTGACTGATGTGGTGCAGATTGAATTTCGCCATTGCAAAACACAGCGAGTTGGAGATGGCGAGCCGATGCAGCCTACAACCGTACTACAACCTGCGTCCAAAACCAAAAAACACAAGAAACGCAACGCCCCGATCCTCCATCTCCAAGCATTCAAAGCGAATCCCATGCCCCTCGAAATCCTTAAACCCAAACCCTATCCCGTTTCCCCGCCTCGAACCGGGCTGTGTCGAAGGGCTGGAGGCTCCCGGGGGCGACATGTCTTCAATAAAATCCGTCCTTGGATCTTTGGTGGCAGCAGGTTTGAAGGCTTCTGGGCTTTGAGCCGAACTTGGGGAAAAACTCGCCGAGCCTCTCCGATCCGTTCTCCCAGGACACGGCCCTGGTGCTCCAAGACCATTTGTCATAGTCCGGAAGCCCTGCAGGAAGCCGACTGGGCCCGGCGCGGCGGTTCAAAGAGGGATGACAGCTTCAGGAGCTTTGAGCTTCGGCCCTGTCCACGCTGAAGGTTCGAGATCTACTAAACGAGGTTTTCGCGAGGGCTCCGATAGCGCAAAGGCCCAGGTACCAAATCAAACTTGACATTCAACCGCGGCGATGAAATGACAAGTCGAGTCCTACGACGCCTTGCCTGGAGCATCATCTTGGCTGTCTTCGCCATCTTTCCCGGTCCCGATGTCTGAGACCCTCAGGTCTAAGTCTCTAAGTCTGTGGGGATTGGGAGGCGAAGGTCTGTTGGCCCTTTTCGCTGCATGTGTGCTCCCCAACAAACTCGCAGACTTCGTGCCTAAACCTCCTTCAGACCAACCCGTGAAAAGGCACCATAGAACTTCTTGATTTGGGCGTTCAGGTTTTAGGGATTTCGGCTCCTTCACCGTATCTCCGTCGGAGGACTAAAATCCTGGATCCGGACTCCCTAGTTAATTCTGGCTCCCAGAAACCCTTGAGAAACATCCGAGATGGAGGGCTGCTGTGAGATGCCCATAGGATCCCACCGCAGCAGTGGACACCTTGAATTTTCAGCTACATGTTCAGGAAATTTGGAGCTTTGGGGCTGGTGCTTTTAAGTTTGGGGTTGAGACGTAGTGATGTGTCATGGGACCATGCTTGGGATATGGCTGATTGCGTGTATTCTCTCTCAGTGCAAACAGATGTGCATTAAAAAAACTAAGCTTGTCTAAATGTATATAATGATACGGATTATACGTGCGCACACACACACACAGGCCATCTTGAAGCTGAGGCGAAAGCTGGAGTTTCCAGATGTATCATCGGATCCCAAGGTTACAACGGTTACGATATGCGAATTTCTATTGGACCTGCATAGTGTGAGCCATCGTCCGAGCACACCGTGAACCCTGAGCGGCACCCCTAGGGGGCAACCCCATCCTGTAAAGAGAATCTTTCACTGCGACGAGAGACGCAGGGGTCGAGGTCTCCGGTGCTTCATGTTGGCCCTGGTGTCTTTCCAATGGAAGGCACCGCAATGAGTTCGGTGGCTGAAGTGCTTCAGGTATCTTTAAGGAGTCAGAGCTGTGGAAGCTTTCACGGCTCAGCTTGGATGCACTGCACCTTCCCAGACTGTGGGATTACGTGTCTTCGGCGCGAACATGTCCAGGCTGTACCCAGGAAACAGAGATCCCACACCGGATCACCTACTGATCACACAGGAGACAGCAAAGGCTGAAGCCAAGCCCAGGACTACCGGAAAGCTAAATAGCAAGAGCCAGGGGAGCCCCGAGACCGGACGGCAGTGAACCTGCTTCGCTGACATCGCTGACACCCAACGCGAGATTCCATCCTGTGCCGGCAGGGTACCGTGCGTGCTTCCCGGGTAGAGTTTCAAGTTCAGGGGTTAAGGGTTGAGTGGCTTTGGTGTCTTGAATTCGTGTTCCGTGTTCAGCGGCTGAACTGCACGCTGAGGAATGAGGATTCACGGCACAGTTCGCACAATCTTCAAATCAAGCTTCAGGGGGGCCGGAAAGCCGTGCCTTGTATTACAAGCGCATGTCTGAACTCGAAACTCGGGAACCCCAAAAATGTGAAACTAGGCAACCTCCTCTTCCGGAGCCTGCTCATCATCAGAGTCCAAGTCCGCCCAGCGCTTCCGGCAGGGCTCTCCCTGGCCACGGTTAAGCATTGTGGGGCTCCTTTCAATGCTCAGGTTAGACTGAATTCGGGGCGATGGAAACAGCCGAGGCTTGAGGAGTTGGAGCCGGGATTTGGGCCGTGCCTTTGGGACCGAAGAGGTTTTCGTGGAAGTGATTTGGGCTTGGGGTTTGGTCGCATCTTCGAGCTCAGGGTCAACAGGCTTTTTGGGGAAGGCGCCCGGCGTGTCAAATTCTTGAATCCCTGAACACACGCACTTCCAAACAGACCTCAGCGCCTAGGGCAGGGTCTCTAAAGAGAATCTGGCAGAGGGAGCCTTTGTAGAGCCACTCTGGATGGGTGACGAAGCCTCCGGCTGAGCTAGTACACGTGGGGGGATCCGGGATTTGCACGTGTACGCAGTTTAACTGCCAACTCTGGGCTGTTTTGGCGAAACTATTCAGCTTTCATGTGGGCCAAAGCACCAGGCAAAGCACAATGCCTGACCGTCTCCGCAAAGGGCGGGTTGCTTGAAGTTCTTGATGCGCCGGGATTCAGGATTTAGGCTTTAAGACCGCTTCTGCTAAAGGTGACGTTGGCATCTAGGGCTGTTGAGGAATTCAAGACAGCAGGTACGAGACCAGCTAGAGTCAACAACCCTGCCTCAGGGCAATGGAACATTCCATGTCCATGGCGTGCACACCTCTTTAAACTTGAAACTAGGTTCAGGGCGGCGGCAGAAGACAAAACAGTCATTGCATGTATTGCTCAAGTTGTCATTCTTGATCTGCAGACATACCTGAACTGTGCAACATCAATGCGGCCGCAGTTGTGCCTTGGAACGCTTCTCTCGAGGAGTGTAGAAGAGGTTACCGGCAGCAGTGCGATCAGATTCGAGTCTGGTGTGAGGATTTGGCGTGGGATTCGGGATGACCCAAACTGCAAGCCCTCAGACCTACAAAAAATGCACGCTCCAAAATTATAGACAACAAACCTACTAAGCATTTTACATCACCCCAAGAGCAAAAGGAAGCTTGCCAAGAATAGTCATGGCGACAAAGCCTCGCGTTCATCACAGTACCACTCGATGAATATTGTCGAGAAACTGGATTCTAAAGGAAATTTGGTACCGCCTTCATCACGAACGCTTTAATACCAGTGAAGCGCATACTGCAGCTAAATTCTAAAGTTCGAACCTGGACCCTGCGATGTTACGACTATAACCTATATGAGCCACACACCCCAAATTCCTGGTGACAGTCAAATCGGTAAGCTTGGTGACCCCGCCGGGTGGAATTAAAAGACAGGTTGGCTGAGAAGTGGATACGGACAGCCAAGATTTCAACCGCTGTCCCGAAACCCCAAAACCCCATGCTCCAACGAAACAAGCTCCGCACCCAGCGAGCAGGCACGCCCAAAGCATGTCAGGGATATCGCAAATGACTTCTTCCACCTTGGAAAAGCAGCAGCAGAGAGCACAATGTTGATCGTTATGACGAGCCCAACACTTCTACGATAAGAGCGCACTCCTTTGCCATAGTCGTTGAAGATGAGAGCTTACCACTTCGTTCGTGATTTTGAATATGAAACAAAACATGAATACGAACGGAGCATGCTTGTAGCACTACTAGAAGTCGTAGCAGTCGTCGTCGTCGTTGTAGCAGTGGTGGTGGAAGTGGTAGTGGGGCGGTAGTGGTATAGTGGTACAGTGGTATAGTGGTAGAGTGGGAACAGTGGTAGATTGGTATAGTGGTATAGTGGTAGAGTGGTACAGTGGTAGAGTGGTATAGTGGTAAAGTGGTAAAGTGGTATCGTGGCAGAGTGGTAGTATGGCAGTGAGTTAGTGCGGTAGTGTGGCAGTGGCAGTGGCAGTGATCGTGGTCCTGACAGTGGTAGCGACAGTGGTAGTGACAGTGGTAGAGTCATAGCAGAGGAAGTAGCAGTAGCAGTAGCAGCTGCAGCAACAGCAGCAGCAGTAGTAGCACTAGCAGCAGCTGTATTCCCAGCACTGGTGCAAGTGATGGTACTGGTCTTAGTGGGTAGCTTGGTAGGTGCAAGGTCGTAGGTACTAGATGGCCGTAGGCGCTAACTAGGAGGTATGATCGTCGTCGTCGCGACTTTATGAGAATCTCCTGGGCTGCAGGCGCTGCGCTTGAACGCCAGGACTCTGCGAATCCGACGGCCGATCCGCTCATCAAACTTCTCCCAGATCTGGATGCGGGGCACACTAGGCGACAGACTTGCGGATGGTGTTTGACTATGTGTGTTTCAGATTTGATGGGATGGTCTCCGACATCGTGGATGCGAGTGGAATCTGACGTCATACTCCATCTAGCTGCTGGAGATCAGCTTGGCTGACGGCGGAAGATTGGAAGCATTTACGGCGGGGTGATTTCCATGAGTTTGTGAATGCAGGCGCGTCCTCATGGACTTCAACATGTTGGTGACTCTAGAGTCGGGAGCTTGGGGCATCAGGCTTGAGAGGTTGTACAGTTGGGCAAGAAAGTTCCGGGTCTGGGATGGAGCACAGTCGAAGCTTTGATTGCACAACATCCGGGCATTGGGCACTCAGGACTTGGGAAGAGGCCGAGACCTCTCCCCCACTAGTCTACTACTGAAGAACTTTACAATCTGAAGACCAGTCCCTGAACGCCAATCCTCAAACCCTAAACCCCAATTAGTCTGATCGACCCCTGTCCACAAAAGTCAAACGTTGAAGCCACCAATGGCAATCAGAGCAGGCCTATAGCTCTGGCAATGAAAGACCAAAACCCTCAAAGTCCAAAAGCAACCCAAATTCCTTGATGCCAACTCGCCAAAGTCACAAAGGAACGGATGAAGGAGGGGATCAGCAGAAGCCTTGGTTTTTTCTCTTGACAGCTTATACCTTGGGTTTTCGATTTCACCAGGTAATCAACAATCACTCGTTGAATGCATAGAGATTACGAAGAGCATCCATAGAGCTTGTAAAGGATACACCGGGATTATTTCGGGTTACGTGATGCAGGTCATCGGATTTGGACTTGGTTCTTTCCTCTTAAGGCATTCCTGGAGCGGCTTTGCACTTGCACTGTTCGGATTCGTGATTTTCACTCAGGCGCTTAAGGGCTATGTCGGCTATGTGTTTTAGGAGATTTTAGGTTGGCACACAAGGCGAGCGGACTTCCAACAGGACTCAAGAACATGACTACTCTTTCACAACATAGAGAAGCTCCTACATGTGTGACTCCTACTATTCTTGTCATAGCCGTAACGAAAACCTAGCTGCACCTAGCCCCCCCTTTCTAAATCAAAATCAACTGTCAGGCCATTGATGCTCCCAGCTACTGGGCTGCTCCTTGTTTCTTGGCAAGCAGCTTTCCGAGATCCTTTATCCCTGGAATGTTGTCAAAAGTGTGGAGTTGAGGAATTCTTTTAAGATATTCGATCTGCCGGCCTTGGCTTGAAAGGTTGTAAGATATTGGGCTTTCGAGTTTAAGGTTCAGACGTTGAGTGTTTGGGCGATCTTGATGCATTGCATGCTTGTGGACCTGTTGAAATCATGTCTGCCCTCAGCAACTTTCCAGGGCACCCGGCCACACAAGGTAGAGGGGGAAGAGGGCGATGCGAATCGCGAGCAGAACAAGGCACTTCACGACCTCGGAGTTTGGTCAAGTCCTAAGCCCCATGGATGGACACGTTGAAGTTTTTGAGAGCTTACCTTACAGGCCGTTTGCAAAGCAACCCTCGGTCCGCCACTATGTAGATGTCGAACAGGGAGCGGAGAAAGAGCTTGACCTGAAGACATGATTTGGGCATCAAAGTTATGAGTGCTATGAAGTGGGCTCGCGGTTCTTGTAACTGGGGTATGTTCTGATCTGCCCTGAAGGCTTAGGCTTCGGCCTTCGGAGTTTCGCATCAGCGGCTGGGTGATGAAGGCCATTGACATTGAGTTGCAAGGGGTTCTTGAATTCGGTGTCGAAGCTCTGCATAGACGGGTGAACTTGGTCTTGCCGCGCTTAGGATGCTGTTGGACTTGGGAGTTGTCAAGCAGAAAACGCAAGAACGAGTTCAGTACCAAGCCAGGACGCAGCACACCCAAGCTTGCCGCCCTCAACACCTGAGTCCGAAACCCTCGGTTGAAGTCCGAAACACTGCACTTCAAGCAAGCAATGGCCCACACACCGTACAGCTTGCAACTCCTTAGGACGTTGTGTTGGAGTTTAGGAAGCCATGTGCAACTTACAGGGCTTCGGTTTCAGCCTCGAAACCTCCCCAACACCCTCAAGGCTTCCAGTCCCTGTTCACGTCCAGACCTCCTTCCGGGCATTGACATCGTCAGCACGAGCCAATCCCACTCCCCGAAGCCCCAGACTCCTCCCAAGCCTAAGAAAAGCTCTGAAAGCCATAACCGATTTGCACCCCGGAAACCCTACCTATGAATATTCGAGCCTATCTACTCCGAACCTCGAAAGCAAAGCTTTGCACCTGAAGACACATCGAAAAACCTGGTTCCCGTATGGCAAAACATCTCAGTCTAAATATTGGGACTCGATCAGGTCCAACACCCAGTGTATACCCGGCTGCCCTTACTCGGGGCGGGAACTCCGCGGTAGAGCGAGTAGAGAAGCAGCACTGCTAGCAGCACAGGAAGCAAGCCTAAGTCTGTTCAGGATGTCAGACTTGGGGCCTTTTGCGTTTTAATTTCTGTTCAGCCGCAAGGACAGAATAAAGACGAAGTCCTTGAACAAGAACGGGTATACAACGAGCAAAACACAGACACAATCCATATCAGAGCAAAGCAGTCAGTTGGAAGTCAAAAGCTGAAACAATCACATCCGCGAGATGCAACTACGGCATTAAGAAATACAAAAAAAATGGACCTGACTGCAGGATTGACGGTTAACAACAGTATTCTGAGCGTGCTCGTAGATATGGCATGTTGCCTTTCGATGTCTCTTTGTATACATATATATTTGTTAACTGAAAGAAAGCCTTTCGGGGTCCATATAATGCTTGGTTTTGCAATTAATACGAAACTTTCTCAAATAATTTCAATAATTATAATAATTTAAATCGAGGTAATTCCAATTATCTAAAATATATAAATTATAATCCGAAAACAATCTAAATATTTTTAAATCGAGCGGATTTAAAAATTTAAATTATCGAAATAGTTTAGATCAGTTTCTGTAGACTATTAAGGTGGAAGGGGAAAGGAGGGGAGCTGATTTAAATTGACTAAACTGCATAAATTGCGAAGCATCCGAAAAAATATTTTAAATAAGTTGAATCAACCCGCTTCCTTTCCTCCCCCACCCTGTCTAGAACGATTTAAATAATGTAAACAATTTAAACAATTTCAAAACAATCGGATTTAAATTATGTCAAGTACTTTAAATCCGACAAAAAAATGCATAATTTCGATCGGATGGATTTAAATTATGAAATTATTTGACAAATGTTAAACCATATAAAATAGGGTGGAAGACGAAGAGAAGGGAGCTGATTTAAATTGATTGAGATATTTAAATTGAAAGCATCCGAAAATAACTATAATAATGTAAATCAACCCCCGCTTCTTCCTCCAGCATATGTAAAACAATTTAAACAATTTGACCAATATAAACCGAGGTGATTTAAAATATTCAAAGGGGTAAGCAAAACAAGTAGGATACCAAGCAAACATAACTAGGATAGGAGTTTACACCTCTACCATAAGCGTAATCATTCTAAACCTAAACTCTAAAACCCGAAAACATGTTGAAGCCGTTTAAACTCTAAACCCCAAAATTAGGTTTTAAGGCTTCAGGTTTGCAGGGGTTTCTAAGACTTTACGGCTGTAGGTTTTAAGGCTTTGGATTTGCAATTAGTGGCGTTAAGACTTTAAAGCCTCAGGTTTTAAGGCTTTAGGTTTGCGGTGGCTTTCAAACTTAAGCTGAAAATAGAACTAAACCCTGAAGCCTAAACTCTAAAGCCATCAACTCTGAACCCTAAAGAACCTCAACTCTTAACCCTAAAACCCTGAACCGCGAGCCCTACAAAACCCTTCCTGAAGCGTTCCAAAACTTTAAACCCAAAGACGCCTAGGGGTTGTAGGGCTGTAGGTTTGTAGGGTCTAAAGTCCTTTAGTTTGTGGCTGTGAGGTGATCAGGTTTAAGGACTTTTCGAGTTTCAGATTTTTCAAGATTTGAGTGGGCTGGGTTAATGGTCTATTTTTTCTGTTGGTGATTTCATTTTTGTGCCGAAAAGCTGTAGTGCTGCAGGCCTTAAAGCAATTTACAGCTCGGGAATTTGAAAGGTTTAGTCGTCTGCGTTGAGTAGGGGTTTAAGGCTTGAGGGTTTTTAGCTTGTTAAAGTGCTTCATAGACTTCAGGGCCTTCAGATCTTAGTCTAAGTCTAGAAATAGGTATATCAACAAAATCATCAAAACTCATTGTCATCATATATCAGCCGTCACCATCATCAGGACAGTCGTACAGTCTTACAATGGTTTAATTATACCCCTAAACCCTAAACCCTCGAAGCCCTGCAACCCTACATCGGCGCTGCTGGTGCCGCTGCGGCGGCTGCTGGGCCACAGTGATCTGGCCTGCACAGGCCAGGGCTACTGTGGGGGGTTTTGAGTGTAGGTTAAGGGTTTAAGGGCTTCAGCATTTAGGAGTGTTGGATTGTAGGCTGATCGGGGTTGAAATTTTTTGAAGGTCCGAGGTTTTAGGGTTCAATGTTTTAAATTTGTATCGTGTAAGGGAATTTAGGTTTTCCGGTTTTGGGTGTCAACATGTCAGATGTGTTTGTCCTCGTGTGATTTCTGTCTCCACAGTCCAGCTGTCCAGCAGTCGTAGTTCCCCCCCCACTTTGAACTGCAATGACGCACAACTATACTGTGGAGTTTAACATCAATCAGCGCAAGGGTCGTCTCCACGACCAGGCAGTATGCTATGGAAGTCAGGAGGAGGCCATCAAAAATGTTCATGCAATCCCTGGCCCAAACCCTGTTCCTTGATTGGTTTTGGTGTGTTTGCGCGTGTAATGTGTGAGCTGTAACACTGCAGGACTGCATCTATACCAAGGTCTGGGATTTGTCAAGGTTCCCCCAACTGCACAACCACCAGCTGATCTTGTTTGTGTTGCACCGTCAGACCAAGGGTGCCGATATGCCCGTCTCCACATTGTCGGTGGCATACACCCTTTTGAGGGAATTGAAAGACAATTACATCCTAGAATTTTCGGGACGGGAAGATCATTCCCTCGAGGTGGAGCTCCGGTGCCGAGGTCAACCGGTCCTGGATGTAGTCTCACTGTCGTTGACAGTCCCCAGTCAAGGACAGGCCGCCCAGAGTGCTTGACAGTCCCACAGCCAAGGACAGGCGAGGGTGAGGTCCGCCACCTGATAATTCAGATTCATGTGTTCAGTGAAGCGCCGAGCATCCGTGCTGGCACGCTTTTCGAACTGCAGCGGTCTGCTGAGTAAGGCCGGAGCCGATTGCCGAGCAGAGGCTGCGTAAGAGCGAAACCTAAAGCCTGAAGCTTGAACCATCAATCCAAAACGCTAGCCTCTCCCGTCGCAAGAGCCCAGCACCTCTGATTCCCAAGCAAAAGGAACGTTCTGGGACCAATCCCTCACATCTCAGCCTTTAGGGTTCATATTTAGGGGCCGGAATTTGTTACAGATTTGCAGCAGGGTGCAGGGTTTAGGGATGTGAAAAGGAAAGCATCTCCACATGTGAAAAAATGTCGCTGTCGGGGTCTGCCTTCTCATCTGTACTTCAGTGCTACAATGGCAAAGCTGGAGGCCCGAACAAGTAGGTAGACACGAAAAAGTAAAGCAGACAGGACTCTGTAATTTTTTTAAGGCCTATCCAACGGGGTGGCTGTCGAAAAGCCTACGCAATTCCATATTTGGCCGAAACAACTATGCAGATGGCAGGGTATGTCGTGGAAATCTTGCTGGACATAGAGTTCCACATTCAAATCTATTGACCTATTGATGTCGGTATCTTTGTCTACGCAACTTGATCGCCATACTTCGCTGGACAAGCGCAGTCGCCTGGTGGTTGTAGAAGTCTCATGCGACCCTGTGTCTTCCTACAAACCTACGCGACTCGGGGTTTGTAAAACACAGTCGCACAATCTCCCAAGAAATGCAAGATGGCTACAGCGATTCCAGTCAAGTGTCCCTCAGAGCCACTCACCTTGGCCATCAGAATGAAGATAATACATCCTGAATCCTGAAAGAGGTTTGCACCCAGTTGGCTCAGGCGGTCTAGGATGCCAAGTTCGACTGCCCGCAGCACTCCTCCGGGTCGAGTCTGCGTGCTCATGCGCAAGGAGCGCTGGGAAGCTTGTGCTTTGGCAGTACGAGAGTGCAGGCAGGACTGCTACGACTACTACAATTCAATTCCAATTGAATGCTGCTAGAGCGGGCTCCACGCATGGCAGGCTTAGTACCGCACCAAGCACTCGCTAGGTGTGCAACCGACCCGTAGATCAAAGGATGGGTTATGTGATGAGAACTAGTACGGCGACTCACGGTGACCGATCCATGCTGTGCGGCTTCGTACTGCTCAAGCACATGAGGCTCGCTCCCCATCTCCACCCATCTGGAATGCCTACTGCGCCTGCCCCGTATCCGGTAGGACCGACGAGCACATGAGAGGTTCCGCCGAAGGTTGAAGGCCTCCACAAAGCAGGATCACGGTCTGAGTGCAGCGCGAAAAGTGAAAGCATCGTCCGGCAGGGAACTGTCAGGCACCTGTGAGGCAGTCAGGCAGATATCGAGAAACCTGTCACTTTGGCTGGTGATCCTGCACTGTCGACAGATCGGCACATGCTGATGCAGCTGACCTCAGGCTACTCGGGTTTCTGGCTCGCTGCTTTTTGTCTGTGCCAATTCGGGACGATTTCGGGCTCGTTCCAGACCCTGGTTGCACACACAATGCTACGGTCACTTTGCTTGGCACCACACACACTGTGCAAAACAAGGGATTAGAGGGGGTACCCAGGTAAGCGGAATGTTTGCTACGCCCTCTTCGTACCATCCGCTTTAGGGTGTCTTTCAGTACCCAAAGGTGCGTACGAACTCAAAACAAAACGCGGCTCACGCACTTCTCTTTTAAACACGTTCGTTGCGCAAAGTGTTTCGTCGTGTGAAACGGCGTGAGACAAAAACTACACGCTACGGTAGCCTCCACTAAGCTCACTGAACTCGTTGCAACTCTTCATAGGCATTGCCCATTATCCGCTTTCGCTGAATCGTCTCTTTGCGCAGCTGCAAACTCGCACGGCGGTGTTTTTGCAAAACTCCTTGAAGCTCTTTTGTTACATGCGGCTGTTGCCGCTTCCACACTGTTTTGCTAGTTTGGGGTCTTTGCGGACACGAAAGTCGTTTAGGGTCATTTCGGACACGAAGCGATCCCCCTCTGGGGTCGTGCTAGTCATTGCGGACTATCTTCTTTCTCCTTTAGGCTTTCTTTTTGGCCTTTCCAGAACCCTTTGCTGAGGTTCGGTGTTTCTCTTTCTGCGGTTGCAGGTGGGCCGCATAGTCTTTTCGGATCTCGCGGCGACGGCTTTTCTACCATATCTTGAACTCTCTGCTGCTGGCGAAATTGGCTTGGCCGCTGCTGTCCACCTGGCCCATGACCGGCGTGTAGGTCGTCTTGCCGGGATTGTCGGTGGTATAGTTGAAACTTGTGTCTCAACAGTTTCGCGTTCTGTGCACGCGTCTTGAGCAGACGTCACACAGCCCACCATCTGTTTCGGAGCTGCTCTCCGAGGTGGCGTCGTCCACCGTTACAGCAGCATTGGCCCCGGATGCGCGGTTATTCGCGTCCTGCAACTCGCTCTCGGGCTTTTCCACTCGGAGTCCAAGGCCCTTCATCGAGCCATGTAAAACGGTTACTGTAAAACGCCATTGGCTTTCTTCTGTTTGTTCAAACCGCGTTGGGCCTCCGCTCGCTGATCTATCAGGGCCTTCATGGACTCTCCCTTTGGCCCCTTTTTCTCTTTCTGCTTCTCCTCATCCAACTTCTTTTGCAACTCCTCGATCTTTTTTCATCTCTTTCGCGGATGTCTCTTCGGTAGTCAATGCTCTTCTGCTTTTCCTCCTTAAGCTTCTTTTCCGCATTCTTCAGATCCGTCTCCTCTTTGCTCGGGGGCAACTTCTCTGCCCTTTCATAGATGCTGAGCGCTTTTCCACATAGTCCGTTAGGGCCTTCTTGTACGCTGGGCGAATCTCCTCCATCTTGTTGTCAATTTCGCCTTGTTGCGAAAGGATTGTTTTCCATCTTATTTGACATCTAGCTTTTGCATTCACCAGGTCAAGTTTCTCCTTCCTGGCTGTCTCAAGCTTGCCATAGGCTTCGCCTATCTTCTGGAAGTATTTATCGGCATCAGCTTTCTTTTCCTCAAACTCCCCAACTCATCTGCGAAACCTCTCAGAATCTCTGAGCTCTGCTTTAGCTCATCTTTCGCTGTGTCTAGGGTCCCTGACCCTTCGCCATCTCAGCATCTTTTTCCTCTTCTGATGGCTTATCCTCGCGCTCGAGGTTCAACGCTTGCACCCTTTCCGTGATCTTTTCGATTGGGTACATCTCTTTCTCCGCCTTTTCCAACAACTCATTCAAGAAATTGACCGCGGATATGCTCTTCGCACTGGATCGGATGATTTCTTTCAATCGCTCGGTATACCCAAGCAGCATCGTCTCCCTATCCAATCCACCTTCTTCTTCGTTATCATCCGCTTCCTCCGAACTCTCTTCGGATTCATTATCATAGCGTTCTTCTGCCTCAGCTCCTCTCTTCCTCTTTTCTCCTTGCTTCTCTTCTTTCTCTTTGCCAAAGATCATCTCATTCAAAACTCTTCTCCTTCTCTCTTTGGCTGTCTCTTTCCTCTCCGCAAGATATTTCTTCTTGTCTTCCATCTGCTTCTCCTGCGGAGTCATACTCACATCGCTGCTTGCTGCAGCTGCGGCGCTTCTGCTCTCTTTTTCTTTCTCCTTCTCTTCGACCGCAACCTCCTCGGTCTCCTCAATCTCTTTCTGAGATTCTTTTTTGCTCATCTCTTCAACCTCCTTTTCTCTGTTCTCTTCCGATGCAAATGCTATCTCAAAGCTTGAGCTAAAAATGGCAGCGGCATTGGACATAGATAAGCAAGTGTCATGCAGCATTCTTTGGAATGCCCCACCGAACAGCATGCACAACATCACCACTGCAAAAAACCATGAAAACAAACACTCCTCTAAAAATGTTTTCTTCGTCTTCAGGTTTCATTCCTTCGCTTCCTTGAATCATGAGCATCATCACAACTCTCCTCAAATACTTCTTTGGAATCACAAACTCATTTTGTCCTTTGTTCTCTTTGGATACCTTCGCCAGTTCGTACACCTATGTTCTCCAAACACTTCACAACAAAGTCTTGTGACAACGCTTTCGTCCCAACATCTGCTGGGTTTTCCTTTCCTGCAATCGCTTTCACCTGCAACTCAAGAGCTTTCACCTGCAACCCCGCACTCGTCAACTTGTGGACCCACAGCAAACCAGCATCTATATGACTATATGCCTTGTCCTTCCAAATCCCTTTTTCAAAATGATTGCTCTTGCACTGCTCGAATCCATGCGCATCCGCATCTCGGACTTGATTTTCAAAACTCTTTCAAGAAGGTTCTGCAGAAAAACTCCTTCACTCACATCTCCTACTGCCGCGAGTAGTTCACTCTCGCACCTGCGTAGCGCTGTCGCTTTCTTTTTTCTCGCGTGAAAAGACAAGGTTTCCGTTCACGAAAAGCAACGCGCAACTCGATGACTGTCTTGTTTCTCGATCGGTTGCCCAGTCGGCATCCATCACGACTTCAATCAAACTTCTTGCTGAGAACACTGTCTTTGCTTTTCATTTGGGTTTCCTCGTAATCTTCATCTTCTCTTTTGGGCTCTAAAATGCTCTTTCCTGGGTAAGACGCTTTGTGCTCGATCACATAATGAGACGCCGCTTTGACATACTTCGCCACATGCCTAAGCTGCTAAATCTCCTCTCGTTGGTGCTGCCAGCTTGCCTGACAACCACTTCGTATCGAATCCCAGGTCTGGTCTTTCTGGCTTCATGTACAGAAATACACCGACACAAGATCGGTACAGATGGTGCTCCTCCGCATTCAGCGGTGTCTCGTTTTTCAAAGACCTTCCATACTCCATCAGAAACGGCAGTTTCTTTGGATGGGCTTTTCCTAGACCCAAGATCTCTTCAAGCTTCTCCAAATACTTTCCATCCATTCTGATCTCAATGCCTCCGGGTATTCCCAGAAACGTTCTCTTCAAGAAAGCACACTCACCCTCTCCGACCTTCACACGTCCTTCCAGCTTGATCTTCAACTTGTGCTTCTTGAGCAGATCCACTACTGCTTTCGTCTCCATCGGTTTTCCAAACACTTCAACGTCATCCACATGGGCTCTCATCAAAGTTCCTCCTTCTCCTTCGTTTGACTTCAGTCTCATCTTCTGCTGTCACCGGAACTCTTTTCTTGTCTTTTCGATCCTCTTCTCCTCTTCGCTCTGAGGGTGCACTCGGCTCTCCAACTTCCATTGGGGAAGGTTGCTCCGAAAGCTTCTTCTCAATTTCCTTCAGGTCCCCAAAGGTCCCGCAACCAGTCGGGATGTTCCAACAGGGTGATCATGACTTCAAACCTGTCATTAGGCTTCACGCCAAGATGCATTTTCTCTTCCTTTCTCTTCCTTTCCATTGCTCAGAACACTCAGAGAAATCCAAAGATTCACAATCGATCTCATTCAAAAATTCGTTCTCCTCTTCGCTTCAACTTCCCTAGCAAGGTTGTTCGGTAAGGAAAGTGATCTCCTGCATCTCCTGCGCCCTCATACAACCGATTCGGGAACTGACCTGTCGGGTCAAACGTCTTCACAGTACTCCAATCAAACTCGCTGGGGTGCCATCTTGTAGCACAAACCATTCATCTTTATTCTCATTTCTGTTCAGTTCCTATCTCAGATTCTCTTCCAAACGCACAGGCTCAACATTCATCTCATCTTCTGCCTTCTCCTTTCTCCTGATGAGAGAGGAATCCTAACTCGTCCTTTCAACCGAAGCTTTCCTTCCTCATTCACTGTTGCCCAAACACTCACAGGCGTGCCATCGTCGATTTGGAGCATAGTGTCATCGATTGGAGCACACCCGCTTCAAGCGTGGAACGCGACCTCGCCAAAGGCGTTGGTGAACATCCGCCTCTACGCCGTGTCGCACCGGACATTCTCGATCTTCTTGACGAACTCCTTGAAGAACCTGGTTTGATCTGCTCTGGACTCTTTGGTTTTCTGTCTCTCGATTTCAATGTCTTTTGAAAACACATCACCGTTTTGGATGGTCGTCTTTCGGTAGTTCTCGTTCTTGGATTTGCCGAAGATGGACGTGACGTTGTAGTCGTTTTGGGGGATGATCTTGCCTTCCGTTCAGGTTTAGACGGTGTAGATGAGGAAGCCTTTGCTTTCTTTTTCAGTGGTGCTGTCAACGGACAACTCTTCTGGATCATCGGCAGTAGCTTCTCAAGTTGCCGGCAACGCGATCTCACCACCGTCCCCGAAGGTCATTATCGTATCTGCATTTGATCCAGAAGTCATTCTGAGTGATATCTTGCACCAACCAATCTTCTGTAGGCAAAACCTACGGCTGATAAAATGCGTCAGGGTTTATAACTGATGCTGTCGCTCACCTCACCGAGATTGGTAATGAAGTTGATGGTTGCTTATTGAATATTGGCTTGCTGATATTGAAGACGCTGGCTTCCCTCTCATGCAGGCACGCGGCCTTCTAACGCTCGTTTTGTTCTGCGGCGCTCGCCCCTGATCTGTGCACAGGGGAATGGCTCAGATGCTATGAATGTTTAGCTTTGACCCGAGACGTAGGCTTTGAGCTAGTGGCACTGTTGAGCTTGGAGCTCAATCTTGAGCAAGGGACTCCTTCCGGAGCCACAAAATTGCATGTCAGGCGGGGCCCCGGAGCACTCACAAGACTTGGTACAACTTTCAAAGCAGTGTTGACCGTATGTTCATGGTCTGTATTCATGGTCTGTGAAGCAGTCCCAACACAGTGTACATCGCTCATATTGCGACATCCAACCAATCGGACTAGGTATCGAGGTCCGTTCGCAATAGATATTGGCATTAATATTAATAATAGTATGAGCATTAATACAAATGTAGAACAAAATATTAATATTATGATTTATATTCGCAAGAATACTTGTATTAGTATTGTTGATGAGTTTCGTATAAGAGCTAGTATTAGCATAAATATGAGTATGACTATTAGTTGTAGTATCACTGTAATTATGACTATTGGTTTTCCCAGGAGTATTTGTATTGTATTCAATTTGATATCCTTAGTAGTATTATTGTTAGAAACATGTTCAGACTTGCATTAATATGAATACAAATATGAATAAATAATCGTGGGGATATAAATCCTGGTATTATGGTTAGTTTAGTATTAGTATAAGTATCGGCCACCGCAAGAGTATGATATTCACCACCCGAAGACCGAGACCAAAGAAACAAAAACCAAAGCTCCACAAAAAGTAGTTGGACCTGTTTTGCTTTTTGGTTTTTGGTATTTTGTTGTTTGTTTTTTTGGTTTTTTGGTTTTTTGTTATTTGGTAGTCGGTTGTGTTGTTGTTTTTGTTTTTTGGTTTCGTGAAATAAAACGCCTTCCACGGCAAATCCAAAAAAAACAGTGTATATATATATATACA